GTAGTGGGGGAGGGAGAGGGTGTAGAGGGGGAGGTTGGGGAGAGGGAGGGAGAGGAGGGGGAGGCGGTGGAGGGAGGAGTAGAAGTTTGGAGTTGAGGATTTGGGGGGAGGCTCCTAAAAATTTTGATTTTGGGGGGAAGAAGAGCGGCTAGGGTTTTGACGGGGTAAATTTTTTTAAAAAAATGGGCACGTATTCTAGACGGAAATTTCCGTCTAAAATACCTGGTTATTTAAAAAAATAAAAAATAAAGGAATCGTCTAGGATACTATTCTAGACGGAATTTTTCGTCTAGAATGTTTTATTCTAGACGGAATATTCTAGACGGAAAATTTCTGTCTAGTTTAATACATTCTAGATGGAAAAAAAATCCGTCTAGAATATTCCGTCTAGAATACGTGATTTTCTACTAGTGTTTGTGGATTCAGAGAACACCCATCGGTGGAATCCGAGGTTATCACTTCTGCGCTACGTCATGATTCTATCAGAACAAGCCGCATTGGAGAATATAATTCAAGTCTTTCATGAACAAAATAGTTGAAACAGCTTAGGAATTTCACTGACCCCTTAGTTGTCAGAACTCCTAGCTCGCACGTGGGGAATTCTAAGATGTGTATTATATCCAAACAGGGTGTTAGTTGTCCACTCTCTACTCGTCGAAAGTAAACTGGCAAAACAATTCTTAGATAATATTGTCCCTTTTCAAGTTCAAACTCTTTTTTCTTTTATAACTTCATGAAATTCAGTGGATAAGAAGTTAGGTTTCTTTATCTCCAGATCCAGTCCAACGTAGTACACATTAATTAGTCCAAATTAATACAACTTATCGAGATTAATTTTAATTAAAATAGGTGGATGACTCAGAATAAACCCAAGCATATTCCTGTTGTGAACTTTCTTGGGAAATAACACTTGATCTGTGCTTGAGTTGGCATATCCTTAGACATATGCCACGTTAGCATTAAAGAAAAGAATTATACTAAACATTTTTTACCACAATTATCGGACATAAATATGATACAAGATCTGATATATGCGCAATGATAACATAATATAAGTCCATCTTTAATATTTCTGAACATTGACCTTGAACTGAAATTGAACATCAAGGAGGGATAAGGTATTTTTCTTTCAAATAATATTTTCAAGTACAATAATTGGTCTTCTTGGCACATGCTCCATCAAATAAAAAAATATCCACATCATGTTCTTTATTTATTTCTTTTATATATATATATATGCATTATGTATAAATGTGTATCATCTGGGAGGATAAAATTTTAGACAGATGATAACTAACTCCATCTAAAAGTTTAATCTATCAGTTCCTCAAATCCACTAGTCATTCCAAATTAATGTTTGAAGTTAGTAACTTTTTGATTTGGGAGAAATATTCCATTCAGCTTATCTTTTTTTCATGGGTTTCCATAGTACTTCTAGTCACGCTCGTCTGTTTATGTTACCTCAAATCCATGCATTCTTCTAATTAATTAAGCCGCCGCTCGATCCCATGTCTGAGTTTTTAGACCCGTTCAAATTTGTTTCCTTAAAACTTTTTGAGAGGGAGGTAATAGCAACTTCGGTGATCTGACGAAAAAAACTAATTTCAAGACAGTACTGAAGATTTAAAGAACCAATATATTTGATAAAACCAAATTGTTAACACATCTCCTCACACGAGTCTTTATTTATATAGGTATGGATGTTTTTTAAAGGAGTTTTTTATAGATGTTCAAAGGCCAGGAATCTTGAACTCTGCTTGAAAAGACAGATGTTGGATATTTTGTTGGAGAAAAGGCAATTTTGCCTTCATGAATAGTCTTACGTGGAATAGTATTATGAATACAATTAAAACGTGCGTAACAGCTATACATTATGGGGAACGTTACGAACGTTACCGTATTAATTGTAGGAATTATAATGGCTTTTTCAACCCTATATATACCCCCCTTATTCACTTTCGGAAAAGATATAGAAACAATTCTCTCTTCTTCCTCTTCTCTCCTCTGCATATTATTTTCATTCATATGTTGTTGTTATTTTGGGCAACCGTTCTTCGTCTGAGCTGAAGCTGTGTTATCTCGTCCGAGTACAGAGGTCGGCCGCTTCCGGTGGTTTTTACCGCTAGGGGAGAGAGGATCATCTGCGTCAGGACGATAGGCAGGTCCTCAATCTTCAAGGGCAGTGTTTACACGACTGCTTCCTATCAGACCAGACTTTCTTATTATTTTATTTCGAATTTATTTTACATGCTATAATTTTATTTGATAAATTTCCAACATAAATGTGGGACCAAAAGTTATGGTTTGTCTTCCGATAAGATGGGGACTCAATGCAACAAATTAGAGAGGAGGAAGTGCAATGCAGTTAATTTGTTGAGGGGGTAAAAAGAAAACGGGAAACTAGAATAATTAAACCCTAGCCATCTTACTGTATTACAAACATCTGAGTACATAATTACTTCGTTCCTTGTATAAACGATGAAAGTGACAGAAGGTTACCCATTCCTAAATGAATGTTATCTTTCTTTAATTTTATATGCATAATATTAGATGCACTTGTGCTTATAGGTTAAGCCTGATCTCTCCCATGACGATGGGATTATTATATGCTGAAGCCACGCACAGACACATCACCTAATTATATGCGTGCGGTGTGCACCCACAAATATTCTTTTTTTATTATATTAGTTTAGTTTAACTAAAGAAGTTCGGCACATGTAGCCATAGAACACGATCAGTCCGTGGATTTGGGTGGTGGACGATGGAGGGCGTGGCTTGGGAAGTTAACGAGGATTGATTTATGAAATTTCTAATCGAGTATATTTTAATCGAAAATAAATAAACAATTGAGGGCCCAAGTAAGAAGTGCCAATGACCTGTTTTCTTGTTATTTTATTGTACCGGTTATCGTGATGGCGGTTCTTCTGTCCACCCAAAATTTTCATAATCACGTGCTAATGGTGTATTTTTATGATGAGGTGTTGTCTGTAAAATTAGTTTATATCTCATAATACCCCTTTGTGTAAATGATTTTTGGAGGCAAGAATCTTCAAAGATAATAACTCTCGTGAGTGTATGTATTTTTCTTCAAAGATAATAACTCTTGTGAGTGTATTTTTCTTTCCACGTTTTTAAATATGTTGTACTTTAATGTAGAAAATTGAATGAAAACAATCAAATGTAACAGTTATTGGAGAATTTAGAATAATATTACTAATGTACCGTAGGCACAGAAAATCTACACTGTTCTAAGTTTTATATGTCTTTCTTTGTACTACGTCTCAAACCTAAATGTAGAATCCTCGAATCCTCCAAATTTACAAATTTAAAAAGAAAAGAAAGAAACGTAAAGGAAAAAGAAGTAAACATAAATCTCATGACTGTAAATGTAGTCTTTTCTATGAAAAACAACGGTGCGTTCTTGGACAAGTTATCATTCAAATTAAGGAGCACAAACTTTATCAAAACGTCACAAGAATATGCATAATTCTCAAACATTCACAGAAAAGATAAGAGATAATTTAGAGATTACAACTTTTACTTCTATGACTCAAAATATGTCTGCTTGCATTTGGAATATTCTAGTCAGATTTGCGTTCGAACCTAGTAAGTTATAATATAGATTATGGGATCAAAAATGTGCCCAACCCATGTTTAGTTTGACAGAGCAACAAAGTTTGCTTTTAAAAAAATAGAGTATAAGTTATAATATAGATTATGGGATCAAAAATGTGCTCAACCCATGTTTAGTTTGACAGAGCAACAAAGTTTGCTTTTAAAAAAATAGAGTATTACTTATGTTTCAGTTTTATGGGTCCATTAGAAAATACATGAATTTTCAATTTGTAATTATTGATTTTTGAATAAAGCGTCCTATAGTACTATATACATGTATACACACACATACTACACACACACATATATATATATATATACTAGTTTGATTGCACGTGCAATGCACGTGGTAAATTTTTTATTATTTATTATAAATTTATAATTTTATTTAGGAAAAGATTTGTTATTAAATTATTGAATGTAAGAAATAGATCAAACATATAGATATAAGCTAAAAAATTAACATTTGAATAATGAAATTATATTTAGTGATTGATTGGGTAATAGTACACTGGTTGCAGCTATAACGTGATTGATCAATCAAATATTGTCACAAGAATATACTTTAAAGTAATGTTTGATGATGTGGATATAAATCTAAGCTCATGGCATTAGAAAGCTTGACTAAGCCTTTGCAATACCTAATGTGTGAGTACATTTATTGACGCATGAAAATTTCAAAATCTCATATAAATTCCAAAACACTCATTAAACTTTGTCCTTCCCTTTAAATATCATTTGCTATCTTTAGCATTCTCTGCATTAAACCGCCCCAATTTATGTTGAAGGTCCACAAGAGGACCACTTACTACCTTTGCCTTTGAACTCTTTTTTAAGTCAATAAACTTTAAGGGTACTTTTTTGAAACTTTTAAATTTATAGATTTTCAAAGTCCTATTTGTATCTTTGAATTTTTTTGAAATTTTTTACAGGACCTTTATTCTGATTCGTGGGTGGATCCTCTTGACTGAATTGCTAACCAGAGTTGCATACTTTCTTTTGAGTGTCATTGCCTTTGTAAATGTCTTCAGCTTGTTCACACAACCGCTATCTGTACCCAAATTAAGTGGACATTATTAGAATATATTGCTTTTCCAAAAATAAATGTTTAGGTTCAATATCTTTTATTTCTTTTTAACTAAGTAGAAATCTTGATCTAATTTATATATCAGTTAAAATATTTTAATCAAGTGCGATGAGTGTACTCAAGTCTGTTTTTGTATCCTAATTAGAAAAAGTGGGATGGGCGAGCTCAAGTTTGTTTTTTTATATCCCAACTAAAACAATGGAATCACATTTTTCCTATAGGGCAAGGAGCTTCGACTTGATCTTTTATTTCTTTTTAACTAAGTAGAAAT